CTCGCCCCGAAAGGACGGATGTTCAGCAACCCACCATCGGCACGGTGTTCCAGATGGACACCGTAATCATGAGCCGTATCAAAAGCATAAGACATCATTGCACGAAGGTAACTATTAAACAGGCAGGGCTAAGACACAACCTTGCTTCACACCAGAGACAACTGCAATGTCATCCGTGGTTTGGACACACAGCCGTACCCTTGTCCGCATACCACTGTGCAGACATTCAGTTAAAATTATAAAACTTACGCGGGCAACCAAACTTACCCAACACCAGCCACAATGCCTCGCGGTTCACCGTATCAAATGCCTCGGTGAAATCAACAAAAGGCGAGTACAACGACTTGTGTCGTTCTCTACAGTTCTCCTGCAACTGACGAGCTGCAAACACCATATCTATAGTGCTGCGACCCGAACGAAATCCACACTACTCTTCTGCCACATTAGGTTCCCCAACCTGACTGACGAGACGGTTGAGCAAGATTCCGTAATCACCTTGCCCACACAACTTGGCCAGTTGATGCCACAATAATTCATGCAACATTGCTTGCTCACTTTGATAATGTACAGTGGTAGCACATGGGCATCCTTTAGCTCAGGAGGCACCTTCTCCTCAATCCACATGCGTTGCACCAAGTAGTAAAGCGAAATCACCAACGCGGATCCGCCGTGTTTTAATACTTCAGGCGGCATCCCGTCGGCACAGGCACACTTGTCGTTTCGCAGCTGAGCAAGTGCTCTTAGCGTCCCATCCAGTGTCGGCGTGTCTGCCAAACTCGCCTTCACACTGTCCTGCTTCAGGCTGTTCAAAGTAGGCCAGTCGATCTCTGAACGGTTGTTCAAAAGACAAAGTGTTTTTGCCAGATCTGCATTATGTCTGTAGTCTGGGTGCAGGTAGCGCCTGAACTACCATCGACCAGCGTCCTCAGCGGCTCCAACTTCGGTTCATACACCGCCTTCAAGGAGTCAAAGAATTCCTTGTGTTGGCGACGTTCGGCGTAGCATTCCATCTGCTTCACCTTCTCCGTCCACCATGCATATTTTATGCGACAGAGCTCTCGGGTCAGTCGTCGTGGAATTCGCCCAAACTTTCTCTTCTTCCCCAAGTCACTGGGGTCTGCCACATGTGCAGCACCAAAGCGCCAGTCGTTGCATTGTTGTCATCAAACAAATCAGGCCGCTTACAGTTTGCACACCCGATGGTCTCCTCAGCAGCAGCTGTCACCTGGTCGCGAATGTGGTGCCACAAGTCGCCCACTGTGACTATTCAGTCTGTATCACACAGGCGTGCAGCCATCGACTTCACCAGCTCAATACGTTTCGCCACAGTACCGTGGGAATGTTAAATATACGCAGGTTCACGGATGGAGTGCAATACATAGATTTACGAAAATACATGTGCAGTATGGTCCGCACCAATTTGTGATCAGTGTCACACTCAGCTCCAAGCAGTACACATGTCATGGGCACTTCACGCATATCACGCTGACGTACGATGACATAGTCGAGCAGGTGAGCGTGACCACTCCGTGGGTGCGTCCAAGTTGCTATGTCACTCGCACTCAGTGCAAACCGAGTGTTTGTGATCGTCAGGCTGCGAGTGGCACACAGTGAGAGCAGCCTGTCACCATTCGCATTCGTTGGACCAATGCCATGCGGAGCGATAACATCTGTCCACACCGATGCATCACGCCCAACACGCGCGTTGAAACCACCCGGCAGAAATGGTCGGTCGCTCCTCGGTACAGACCGTAACACGGAGGATAGTTGAGTGTAGAATTGATCACGCGTGTCATCAGGATAGCACATGGTCGGACGGTACTGCTTCTAAAAGTGGCAAACTTACCTCTTCCGAGTCGTGAGCGAGCAGTCATCAGCCGCGCGCTGATCCCTGTTGGTTCACCCACCAGCTGGCCATGGAGGCGATCGGATAGTGCAAATCCGACCCCATGTTCACGTGGTGCTGACGTGGCGTTGCCCGCGCAGTAGTATGTGTAGCCAGCACCTGCTTCATGCAACTTGCTCAGCGGGTCGAGTTTCACTGAGCACCGCAATATCTTTGTTGTAGCGCGCCAGTTCCATCGCGACAAGTGCAGTGCGTTGCTCGGGGCGCCCACTCGAGTTCCCGTGTAGTAGTGTTCACACGTTCCAGCACTCGATGCTGAGTGCTATGCGCACAGGCATACGATTGCACTGGTGAGCAATCGCATGCGAAGTGGCGGTTGCGCTTCGGATGTTTGTTTGAGGAACTCCACCCAGTCTTGGGCTCAATAGCCTGACCCATAAAAGCAGTAGATGGTTTGGAGGTATGGTTGAGGGACTCCGCCCGGAGCCTTTTGCTTATAGCCTGTCCATCAAGGCAGTAGGGAGCAGATCCACCTCAGGAATGTGATTGCAGAGACAGATTGGGATCTGCTTGACGTCCTTCACAAGCAGCCTTCGAGGTATTGGAAAGACTCATATGTTTTGCGACCGTAGTAAGATAAGTACCTGCGACCACGGTCAGACGCAAGAGGATTTTGGCGGATTTGCACCAATTTGACCAGGGGCTGCCTGGCTTGAGGGGAGCAGTAGTAAACCATTGAGCACCCGGTGCCCTCCCACCGTCAGAGACAATGCGTGGAGCTCGTACTCTACGCAAAGCGAGCTGGGAGCTTATAACCCGTAGACCTGTTGTCTCCAAAAGCTAGGTTTTACGGGAAGAGAGCCATCGACCACTTCCTAACCTCCGAAGAGGATGGACTAGATACTGGCAGAGCGACCATACCTGACAGGAGAACAACCGGGGTCCTCAGCCAAGGCCTTCGATTAAATGTACACCCGAAAGGCAGCGGGTCTAGGACATGGTCAGTTCACTGAAACATGCGGATTGGTGTTCTGGATCTTAGCAGGGAGAAGGGCGAAACCCAACTTCCACTCAGCGGTCGCAACGAGGCGTCCAGGACATGAGCCCAATGGCACAACAGTAGCAACAGTCTGTAGACCATTTATCAGGATCTAGACACCACCATCCTCACCGCACCATAGGCTCTTCCGCCATATATATGGTTGGACCGTGCACCCCGTCCCCTCCAGCAACGACCAACTGTCTCCTGGAGCCAGTATGGACGAGGTAGTGGGTTATAGACAGGTAGGCACCTTGTCAACATGCACATCAAGCGCAGCCACACCGGGGATATCAAGCAACAGTCAATCACTTGAAACGACAAAGTGAAATAAAATAAATCCAATAATGCATACAGATACGGTGGCATAACTCTTCGCTAAACTAGCATATGAAGTAATTTGGTTAGAAATGAATCCGCGATAAGAAAAAACGACGTCCACAATTTACTCAAAAAACCTACAAACGCAACAAAATTACCGAAGATAAGCGCAATTAGCGTAAACAACGTAGCCAGCTGAAAGAAGACTATCCAGACAGGCAAAACAAACCAAATAAACTGGAATGAAATTTATGCAGCTTAAAGAGACCTAGTTTAAGTGTAAGTTGGTTTAGCCCAACTGCGGCGAAAAAGCATCAAGAGTGCAACATCAGCCTCAGCATGGGGCACGTTGAGGTTACATACATGGTTGGCGGCATCCGGTTTCGGATTTGCCTGTCACTGTGGCCAGACACAGGACGCCTGCGCCTACAGAGGGACCATGAGTGGCTTGCGCTGCACCACCCACAGCTCCAACCACACACCCCATATCCAGTGTAAACCCGAAGGAATAAGACTGGGAGGCATGTGGATGGGAGCCACGTTTCATCAACGGAGCCGGCCCACACTCCTTCACAGGCAAACACAAGCACGCTGTATTTGGGAAATCAAGCGCACACAAGGCAGTGGCTGGATCGTAGTCCGCTCCACACTGAGTGCATGGAACCACTCTTCGAGCCTAGCACGGCCACAAGGACCGTGCACCCCGTCCCCTCCAGCAACGACCAACTGTCTCCTGGAGCTAGTATGGACGAGGTAGTGGGTAATAGACAGGTAGGCACCTTGTCAACATGCACATCAAGCGCAGCCACACCGGGGATATCAAGCAACAGCCAATCACCTGGAACGAGAAGATGAAATAAAACAAATCCAATAATGCATACAGATACGGTGGCATAACTCTAAGCTAAACAAGCATGTGAAGTAAGTTGGTTGGCAACAAATCCGAGATAAGGGAATAATGTCCACAAGTCAGTTAAAAATGCTACAAAACGCAACAGGGTTACCGAAGATAAGCGCAATTAATGTAAGCAACGTGGCCAGTTAATAGAAGAGTATTCAAGTAGGCAGAACAAACCAAATAAAGTGGAATGAAATTTAGCCAGCTTAAAAAGACCTAGTCTAAGTGTAAGTTGGTTTAGCCCAACTGCGGTGAAAAAGCATCAAGAATGCAACATCAGCATCAGCATGGGGCATATATATATATATATATATATATATATATATATATATATATATATATATATATATATATAATAGGTCGTCCGCACCATCGTACATACGAGCCGATGACCTGTGAGTTACAAGGATGATGTTACGTACCAGTAAACCACCGACCCAGAGCAATGATTCCTAAGAGAATGTATTAGAGGGAGCGCACAGGAACAAACAAACCTTATTTCCTGATATTTTTGTACACTGACTACAACTAGTCATTTCCGCAATTTCAGCTCGTCATACTGATGCGGTCCTCTAGTAAATTAAATATCGTTTCACCGGATAACCCGAACGGATATTAATCATTCCTTGCGTACTCATCTCCCGTGCTGCTAAGTTTTAATTACCTGATCGGCAATAGCATCAAACGTTGCCTAAAGTTATGTTGAATATTGCTGAGCAGTGTGAACAGGTATTGAAATGATGCAACGCATAAACATCTCAAGCCTTCGAAAAATTCATGGTAGATTTCGTCAATTTTTCATCGCACGCCCATGGTAGCGTGCTTCGGTGAAAGCGTTAAAGTAGCAGTTGTTGATGTAGCGTTGGAAAATCAAGTGCGTAAGACAAGAGGCTCACCATGGGTCGATCGTCAAGGAGCTTCTTCAAACGTGTACAAGCGAAGGTCGTCTTGAAGCGATAAGCTGCCATAGCTTTGAACCGTGGTAGCCGAGTCATCCAATGTAAAACGCGTCCGGCAGCCCTCAGGCTCTTCAAAAGATAAAAGATTGGGATAACGCAGTACAAGCAGGATAGTAAGTCAAGCCAGGCTGAAGAGTTAGCCTTCAGGTGATTGAGACTACAACAATCGATTGTTGAATAACGTAAATCTAACAGAGTCAGGCTTGCGAATGGCACAAGACGACGCAAGATACGAAACAATCATATAGAGAAAGCAAATGAGAGTTCAGGTGAATCACATTAGGAACTTTAAGGGAGTGCTACAATGTGAACATCGAAAGAATGACTTGCATATTTCACAGACAGGCAAACATTGATCAAGCGAAATCAAAGACGATTCAGTTTTATTCAAGATGAGTTTTCTCAACGAGAGCAAGACCCAATTCGGATTCAATGTATTAGACGAACTGTTCGCCGAGCTTCGCAATTTTGTTGCAATGTTTCGTCACCATCCGAGATGACATCATCAGTGCGTAGCGTAGGTGGCGATGCGTAAATGTGAACCAAGTAGTCACGCGCGAGCTTTTTATAGGTCAGCATCATCAGTCATTTAGGCACGTGACCTTGGAAAATGATCTCCGGCCCAACCTCGTGACAATGGCCCATTTGTTTTCGCAGCTGAAAATACTGCTTTAGCCGTTGGTAGATTCCTTTAGCATTTAGTTCATTCGACTACAGTGTTGGTCCTTTGCTCGAAGATCTGCGTAAATAGTGTCCAACTAAGTGTGTTGATTGATCGAGTTGTTCGTCGAGGCCCATGCTTCTAAGAAACATCCTGACTGCCTTTTGTTCTCATGTGCTAGAACCTTCATATTTTCCTGATCAAAACGACGAACAGCTTTACGCTCGTGTACCGAAACGAATGAATGGAGGTAATGCCTTCTTATGCTCTATGATCCGTGTGGAAAGGTATCGAATTATTTGTCCAATGTATTTCTTGTCGCATTCATTGCAGTGTATCCGGTAGATTACATGGGTTTGACGGCCTTGTTTGATCTTGTCCTTTGGTTTTTAAAACAATCCTTTCATTGTAGTAATTGATTTGTGTTCTACGGGGACTTCGTGTGGCTTAAGTATTTGTGCTGCTAGTTCAAAAATGTGCTCGATGTATTAAAGCTGGTCATCATGTCGACCTAGGAATGTGAAACAATCAGATTTCTCAGAAGCATGGAACTCCACAAACAATCCGATAAATCGACACACTTAACTGGACGCCATCTACGAAAATTTTCAAGCAAAGGACCACCACCGCAATCGGATGAACTTAATGGGAAAAGACACCATACAGACAGCCAAGGCAGTATTTTCGGCTAAGAAGACAAACGGGCCATTGTCACGAGGTAGGGGTCGGAGACCATCTTCAAAGGTCACATGCCTAAAGGACTGGTGACGCTGACCTATAAAAAGCACGCCCGTGACTACGTGGTTCATAAGTACTTACGCATCGCTACGCACTAATGCACTGAGGATGTCCCATCATCATCATCACCATTACCACCACCACCATCATCATCTACTTCAGCTAAAAGTGGGAAGCACAGCTACGGTTCCGCAATATATGAGAAAGGAAAATGTGACGCGGCGCAGTAACGCCATCTGAGTCACCGGTAACGGATGGATATCGTTCCGGAGAGCTACCAACTGACTATTGTGCCGCAAAAAAGAATTATATTATGCCTAGATGAGATCGTAGTTGGAGTCGGAGATTAAGTGAGAAGTAAAGAGACAAAGAAACGCACAACACAAACGTCAATGAGATCGGCTCCTAGCATAGTTAAAGGTGTTCACCGTCTTTCGGGCCCCGATCAGGATATCGAGAGACTCCAAGCAGGGCCAACTTCGAACTAAGAGTCTTTATACTTCTTATACTTCGGCTTGGGCAACCGGGTAGTATCACGCCCTCTCGCAAAACCATGGACTGTACTACAACGCGCTCATCAGCTACTGTTTCTGCTACTCACTTTCGCGCGACTTCATCACACGCCAATTGTTTGTTTGTTCACAATCCTCATTTTCCTTTACCCGATTCATGTGCTCAGCAATCTGGCTGCGATTCCGGTTGCGCCGCAGACCAAGAGGTTCAACCCATGGCTCTCCTTCGTCCCCGATCCTCGTTCCGTCTGGCGTGCTTCAACGTCCGGACACTCATGCAGATTGGACAGCAAGCCGGTCTAGCGCGCACCCTAGATTCCCTAGACATTGATGTCTGCTGCCTTTCAGAAACCCAATTGCAAGATCCGAGCACTGTGCTTACACTGACATCCCCCACTGACCACGAAGCCAGATATCACCTGCGTCTTTCTGGAGATCCAGAAGCAGCCTCAGCGGGTCTGGCTGGTGTAGGTATAGCACTAAGTGACAAGGCCGAGGCGGCACTACTGGACTGATTCCCTATTAACAGCCGATTATGTGCAGTTCGGCTTCGGGGTTCGTGTAGAATCAACAGGCAACGCGAAGAGAGACACAACTTGTTTGTGACCTCTGTGTACGCTCCAACTGACTGCAGTGGAGACTCGGTCAAGGACGAATTCTATCGGGATCTACAACAACTCTTGACTAATGCTAAAAAGTCGGATGTCGTTATCCTTGCTGGGGATTTTAATGCACCGGTTGGCCGCCTGTTACCATACGAACGCCACCTTGGTGGTCATCACGCGCTCGATGAGAACCGCTCTGATAACGGAGAGAGACTTCTCACATTGTGCGAAGACAACCGTCTGTTTCTTTCGAGCACTAGCTTCAGGCGTACGAAGAAGCGTTCCGCAACTTGGCGTCCCCCTTCGTCAACACAACCGTGGTCTCAAACTGATCACATTGCAATTAGCTTCAGATGGCGCGGCAGCATACTAGACTGCAGGTCCTTTTGGTCCACTTTCGTTGATTCAGATCATGCTCTGGTCTGCGCGAAAATCTGTACGTGTTTTGGAGGATCCCGAAACATGAAGCACCGCAAGATTGATGTAAACAGATTAACTGATTCCTCTGTCCAGGAGAGCTATCAGTCTTCACTGGCATATGCACTCAGTTGCAATCCACCGCGAGAAGTGGAACAACACTGGACTTGTATACGGAAGGCAACGACCATTTCCGGACAGTCATGCTGTGGCCTAACTCGACGCCCATTGAAGGCTTGGATCTCTGCTCGTTCTCTGGAGCTGTTCGAACGCCGCAAAGATATCCCGGCGGAATCAGATTGCAACGAGCGGCGCCGTTCTGCCAACCGGCTGCTCAAGCAAAGCCTACGCAAGGATCGCGAGACATGGTGGTCTGAACGTGCTTTAGAGATGGAGACCGCTGCCCTCTCTGGTAACACTCGCAGGCTTTTCCAACTCATTCGGTCCACTGGCCTCAGGAAACCTGGTGTCAGTGAAGTCATTTGTGAGGTGGATGAGTCTCCGATCACCAACCAACAGAGGCGTATGGACCGTTGGGCAGAGCACTTTCACTCGCAGTTCAACTGGCCTCCACCATCCATCAGTACATGCAGTACACCTTGCTCTCCACCCTGGCTCGTCCCTCGGAATCCACCTAGCGAAGCGGAAGTCGGCCTTGAAATTCGACGCTTGAAGCGCTTCAAGGCTGCCGGATTAGACGGACTTCCTCCGGAGCTATTCAAGTATGGCGGTGTGGCGATCATTAACCAGCTGACCGCGATGTTCGCAAAAATTTGGCATGAAGAGAAAGTGCCTTCCTCTTGGGGAGAATCAGTCATTATCCCGATTTTCAAGAAAGGCGCTCGCACTTCATGTGCAAATCATCGCGGGATTAGTCTTATTTCGGTTGCCTCTAAGCTATTGGCATCCATTCTGCTTCGCAGGCTATCCCCAGTACGTGAATCGTACTACCGTGAAGAACAAGCTGGTTTCCGTCCTGGCCGCGGATGTGTGGATCAAATCTTCACGCTCCGCCAGCTCCTTGAACATCGCCACATTTATCACAGGCCCACTATCGTTGCATTCCTAGACATACGTGCCGCTTTTGACTCCGTTGATCGTCCTGCTTAATGGCGTTGCTTACTAAAGAACGGGGTGCCAGAGAAATATACCGCCATCTTACGAGCACTTTACCTTCACACATCCGGCAGAGTGAGGGTCTATGGCAAGCTTTCCTCGCAATTCACTGTCAATAGCGGTGTGCGACAGGGTTGCCGTATGTCCCCATTCTTGTTCAACTTGGCAATCGAAGACGTTCTGTCGAATGCTCTAGAAGGTTTCCAACATTTTGGCCTAGAGCTTCTACCGGGTGAGCGCGCGACCGACTTAGATTATGCTGATGATATCGTCATACTTGGTGACGATCCTCAGAGTATGCAACTCATTCTGGATCGTTTGGCAGTTGAAGCAACTAAGTATGGCATGAGCTTCGCCCCATCGAAGTGTAAAATACTGCTCAAAGACTGGCATTCGCCTGCTCCTGTACTCACTCTCGATGGTGCACAACTTGAACAGGTAGATAGTTTCGTCTACCTTGGGAGCTGTGTTTCTGCCGATGGCACTATCAACAAAGAAGTTCCGCTTCGTATCGCTAAAGCTCGATCATCATTTGTCAATCTGAGGCACTTGTGGCGTCGTCGCGACGTCTCATTCTCACTAAAGGGCCGAGTTTACAGTGCATCAGTTCGCTCAATATTGTTGTATGGGAGCGAGTCCTGGCCGATTTGCGTGGAAGACATGCGTCGTCTTTCTGCGTTCGATAACGGTTTCTTAAGGAGGATCGCTCGTGTTTGGTGGCAACATCGAGTAAATAGTAATGACGTTCGACGTCGCGTCTTGGGGAATGCGAGTATTCCCTTCAACAAACTGGTTTTGTTGCGCCAGTTGAGATGGCTCGGTCACGTTCTACGCATGACACCTGAGCGTCTACCGCGTCGCGCTCTATTCGCTCGTCAAGGACCTGGCTGGAGGCGACCGCGTGGTGGTCAGCCTTCCACTTGGCGGCAGCACATGAAATCGCTGACGTCGTGTCTAGCCGCTGTAGGATCCGTACGTCTTCCAGGATGGGGACCCAAAGATGAGGAGTGCCAATGGCTT